GTAAAATTGTTTTGTTCATTTACAATAAATTGTTCATACGCTATGAAAAGCAAATGAAACATAAATATCATATCTTACTTTAGTTTAGATTTGGATTTAGAATAAATATATGAACTATTATATGTGCTTTACACATACCATACAATACAATAATCCGTGAATACTTATGAATTTATATTTAACCAATTTATTATTTACATATTTGTAAGTTTCTATGGAAAATATAAATTGGTAGTATGTTCCAGTTTTAATTTTTTTCCCCAAAAACGCTTTTGTAATGTAAATGAATGTGTATTTTAAAAGTTTTATTTACCAATAACTTTTTATAATCATTATATATATATACATATATATATATATATATATACTATAGTAGATCTGATTGAAAAATTTCAATTAATTGCAATATATATTTTAAAACAATATGGTATTTATATATACCCTAACATAAAATACACTATTATAATAATGTTTACAAATGTTATTCATTGAGAAGATGTTTATTTAAGTCCTTTGTCCAGATTTTTCATTTTCTCAATTTTTTCTTGCTAATCGAAACTTGACAAAAAAATTTATATATATAATATAATTTTATATTTAACTAATATTTAATATACTTTTGATAGAATTAGAATTTTAAATTACTCCAGCATACGTGAACGCATTGTTAATTTCATGCTGTCTTATAATAAAAAAATTCTTATTTACTAATAACTAATAAATACATTAAATATAATAACCTTAATTTTTAACTTAATAACCATTTTAAAGAGTTAGGTAACTGAAACTCTAAAAATAACATGAAATTTAAATACCTTTCAAAACAAAGTAAGAAACTACGTACAAAATCTAATTACTAGACATCACTTTCATCTCTTAAAGTATATAAACTAATATTTTTAATTCTAAATCATTTTGAAAATTGTTATTATAATATCAAAGAGTAGACATGTCTTTTAAATAGAGTTTGTGGTTATCGGTAAAAGTGACTATCCATTTTCTTAAAATTTAAAACTTTAATTAGTTTGTTATTCATGAATATTAGAAAAAAATGATAAGTTGAAATAAATTTTTTTTTTATTTTTGATAGTATTAATAATAGTATTAACATATTAATAAATACTTTCTTATACGATAAAGAATCTATAATTAGTCCATTAGAGAATTTAGTTTGAAGAAGTAGTGTTAAATGTCGATAGCAAATTAGTTAAAAATTATCTGCAAACTATTGGCATCTGATTTGAGAAATATAAATTTGTGATAAATTCTCCACACTTATTAATATATTATAATTACATTTCAAAAACTTATTCATATTAAAACAATTTATTGATTAACATCATAAAGTGTTTTAAAGCTAACGAATCAATTCTTCTTAAAGTTTTTTATAATCCTATTCTGTAACAGCATATAGAAAAATTATTTCTGACATTTAAAAATATACCGTTTTTTGCTTAATCGTTCATCTATTATTATTATAAATTTCAATATCGAGGGATCAATTAACAATAATCGGTTTCTCATATTCAATCAATACAATTTAATTATTAGCATTTGTAGGTAATTAATTCAATAGTTATTTTGAAATTTCATAAGTCTATAGTATATATAGTATTCTATAGTATAATACAAGAAATTAATTATTTTTACTAGAATAATTGATTTTAGAGGTATTAGAGCGTCTGTATATAAAATGTAAGGCTTGTCATCTTAACGTTTTCCATTTAAATTCTTAATTTCTGATTTATTTGTAATTAATTGCTCATTAATTAGTTCATTGTACGGATGAATTACTTTATAAATGATTTAGTGTCATTCGTTAAAAATTTCTTATAGTAAATAATTTTGTCGTATTTGTTTTATAAATATTTAACATATATGAGCGTCTTGGAAATTGTACGCAACATTAAAATTAAACGATAATGATTATTGCCCTCTACGTTAATAATAAAGAAAAATAACTGCATTATAGTTGTCAAATTATATTGGGTAATCCCTAATGTTTTTATTTTCTTCTTCGATGAATGTTACAACATACATATCGTGCCCTATCGCAGAAAATCCTAATGATTTTGCTCCTGCAATAGCCTAATACAAGTCTAATATTCCTTTCAGAAATTTTCCTCCCCGATGATAAACACTTGAAAATGCACCACCGAAGAACCATCATTATTTTCCCATAATTTAAATACAGCAGTTACCTTAAAGGCTAACACACGATGTACTACGCGATCACGAATTCTCAAGATTTTATTGGCTGATTCATAACAGGTGTAAGCGAGTCTTTCTTTCTCATTTTATCGCCCACGTATGAAGGTGACACAAGTATTATATATAGTGAATGTCGATCCCTTCTCCAACTCTCTTTCTCTCATTCTTACACACAACCGAGAAAGTTGTGTCTATGAAGTCAACATTCGCTCCGATAGAGGGAGAAAGAGAGAAAGTGTGACCGTAAGACGGAGAAATAAAGAGATTGGACTGTGTAATATGTACGTACCGACGTTGTTCACATCGCGAGCAGATCGAGGCTCAGGACGCGTGCGCGCAACCTTAGTCGAGTGAAAAAAACAGTGAGTGAGTGAGTGAGTGAGTGAGTGAGTGTATAGGATCACGTTAAATTTATGAGGGAGGTAGAGAGAAGGAATGAAAGAAGGAGAGAGAGAGAGAGAGAGAGAGAGAGAGAGGACAAGCTGATGAAGACGTTATAACTTTGGAGCGCTCGTTCACTTTGTAATCGTGAGAAAGTAAAGTAGACGTTTACGTTGAAAACGGCGAACTCTTGATAGATCCGTTGTTTGAAAAGAAATCAAACGGAACGCCTAAGATTTGGCATAAGATGGACAACCCTCGAGTGCTCACACCATCGGTTCTTACGTCCGCGATCTGTGACACGCGCATGTGCATACGCGCCTGCCTATGTATGCTCACACGTGCGTGCATCGATGTGTGTGTATGATGAGAGAAGTAGTAGCAGCAAAGTCATATAGCCAATAGCCGGAGAATATATTGCTTGTATGTGGTGGTAATTATTTAGGCGAATTCAATGTTTAAAGAATAACCCGATGTTGATTTAAGGGGTTTGTCTAAAGATTTGGCAACCTAAGTCTAATATCAATAATAGATGAATTTTAAAAAATCACGTCCATTATTAGTACTGACGAATTTGTAAATTGTTCGTGTGATTTTTTTATTTTACAAAAAAATATTACGAAATCAGATCTATTTTTGTTGTTTACACGTTTATAAAATTAATATACGTAAATGTAGCGCAAGATTTTAAAATTAATAATATTCCGTTATTACGATATATTACAATTAATTAGATTAATTACTCTTCTAATTGCTTACTAGATAATTTCGTTAAATTATGGCTTACTTTATTAAATTGAACGAGCTAGTGGATTCACGCACGCATGCGCGCTGCTTTAGGAATTTAATATTTTCGTATGCATTTTGATTTCTAGTTAATCAAATGTTTACAATGCTACTCTTAACTATCGTACTAAAGTTGTATTATCACTTATAATAATGCCTTTAACTATATCTTAATCAACCATAATTTCTAACAAATAATCAATCTTTTGATTTTCTACATTAAAAAACTTCTGTGTAAAGTATATGAAATAATTTTGTTTTAACGGTACATCTCGATTTTTAGAAACATATTAGTACTATATCGTCTAAACATGATGGGGCAACTATTAAGATAATCAATCAAAGATATCCCTAATGAATTTACTTCTAATTTTTAATTTGATATTTTGAACTTTTATCCGAATGCGATTATATTCATTCTCAGTACGTTTTTGTATTTGCAAAAATTCAATTATCTTTTCGGTTAAAATTTGATTTATTATATATGAATTTTATAAATTGGGATTTTTTTAATTAAAATTGACTGTTAATTGTTACATATTGCTCGTAAGAATTACGAGAGCTTTAAATATATCGAATTCATATGTATCAATAAGAACAAGGATAACGCAATACCCTGAACACATTTCTCGTATTTAATTCTCGTAAATAAAATATATTCATTGTACTTGTATTTTGCAAATTTTAATGCTTCCTCAATTTTTAATAGTGTACAAATATTGATAAAATTATAATGACAAATTAATATACGAAAATATTTTAAACAATGTTTACTTAAACGATGAAAAATTCCCTAGAATAATTCGTGCACAAACTCCCTGAACTCATAATGCAAACATAACACATTACGATTCGATAAAATTGTTTATTGTTTGAATTAGAATATAATTTCTGCAATATGTAGCGACGAAGACCTGTGTACTACCGTTAATTTACAAATATTCAATTGGATTTAAGCCGATGTTTATCAATTTTTCCTCCATACAGTCAATTCTCATAGTATTAAAATCTTTTACGTCAATATTCTAAATCTCTCAGCCTACAAAGTAAATCATTTTTATATTTATAATGAAGTGCAACTTTTATGTTTTTAAAAAGAATTAATTAACACATTGATGACCAACTTCTGCAAACTTAGTAAAAGCCGTATATTACCTACAAAATGGTTGACGCTTCGAAACATCGTACTCGAGTGTAAGCCTTTCTTTCGTACTCATAAACACACGTAATATTCATGCTTTTGCACATTTTCTCTCTCTCTCTCTCTCTCTCTCTCTCTATATCTCGATTTTTTCGATAAGTAAAAGACGAAGGATGAAGCCAGTCTTTTCGTTCTCGTCTGCCAGCAAAACATTTAAATATTCATCTGGAGTAATTTATTTAAGGTTAGAAATATCTGTAGTATAGTTTGTAGTATAGTTTTAAAAGGGGCACCCGCTTTATTTACGTGGAAACCGTTTCTCTCTCTCTCTCTCTCTTTCTTTAGCTCCTTCCCTCTCCCTCCCTCCTTCACTACACTCGCTCGCTCTCTCTCTCTCTCTCTCTCTCTCTCTCTCTCTCTCTCTCTCTCTCGATACATCTCTGAAACATCATTACCGTGGTGAAAGAAAGAGAGACAAAAGTAATACACAGACGTGGCGAATTAACGTCGGAGTTATAAGAATCATTTGGTTTTGTTGGTTCTTTTTTAATATGTGCAATCTAATATGTATTTAAGCATGTTTACGCGTTTAGTGCAAAAATACTTTTCTTTTGTCTTCGTTGTGTATATGCATAAGGCGGCTTTGCCCTGGCAACAAGTGGTTAAAATTCTTATCTTCTGGTAATAATAATACTTTTCGGAAGTTAATTTTTTTTAATTTAGCTACCGTATTTCGAATACATTAATATACTTTTTTGACATTTTTATTCAACAAATCTTTGGTGAACATTGATTGTAAAATTAGATACGTGTTTCTATGATTTTTTCTTCTATTTTGTCTTGTTCACAGTGGACCAAAATATTAAATGTGAAAAATGTGAAATTTAAGTTGATAATGATAACCTCATATTTTGTGATGTTTTAATAATCTAGTGATGAAGTATACTTTCATTTCATATTTATCTAATTAATAATAAATCTAGTATATTTAGAATATTATGAGATTTATAAAACATTTAATTAGTCATCTTGATGTGGTATTAACATCAATTTACAGTGTATATCTATTATATTAAATTATCTGTAATTCATATATTTTTTGTTTTTGCTAATGTTTTTAATTTTTATTTCAATTTATTTTCAAGCGATCAATTATCAATACATTAAGTGTATGTATTACAATATTTACATTAAATTATATTTAATTTATATAGAACAAAAATTTATTTTGCAAATTTATTATAAGAATTATATATATATATATATATATATTTTTTTTTTTTGGAACAGTTTTAATATATATTTTCATTCTGTTACTTTATATCCGAGTACAAGTTCTAAGATTTTATAATAACTTATGAGCTAACTTTCTGAGTTGTTTTTAAAAATATTATTAAAACATTGACATAGAGTGATAAAAACAGCCAATTTATTGTATTTAATTATCAACGTACATATTTTAAAATATAATTTAGAAAAAGTAATAATTCTAAGTAAAAAGCTTTTGAAATTATTAAATTTGTTCGTTCCATATTGAATGTATTTTTATCAAAAAAATTTTATTTCGAATAACTTTTGTTTACTACTTTAGAATAAAGTCATTTTACTGTTTAAGATTATTATGTACTTTGAAAAATTTTCTTTACACGTTCAAAAATGTTAACTCAAAAGACTATTATTAATAACTCTACAGTTTTGGTTGTTTAAGCTAATATTATGTAAATATTTGTGACATTGTGCCTTTGTTTATTCTTTAGTTCAGTTTGCTAAAAATATTTCATTTGATATTGTTGAATTTTTCTTATTTGAAATTGAAACAGGCTTTTTTTATATAATTTTATGGTATTCATTTGAATCTGAAAGATAAAATATAAATATAGGTATACATGGAACCGAATAACAAATCTTAATTTTTTTGTATTTATAAAATAAATATTATAATTATTTATATAGCTCTACTATTTATAATAAAAAATTATATTATATTTCATAAAATTGTTTGGGTTAAGTTGGATGTTTCATTAAACAAAATAATTAGTTATTTTTTAAAGTAGAAGGAAAATATATACAATTATATTAACGAGCATAATACATTTAAGTATTTAATAATAATTTTCAAAAATTAATTAATCATTGTTAACATGGCTTTTTAAAAATATGAATTAATAATTTAAAGTATTTATACAGATATTAACAATAATATTACTGATAATTAGTAAAATCTTATAACTGATTTTCTAGACTTAAAAACATTGTTAATACTGTGTTATTAATAAAATTTTGTCTTATTTTTCAAATATATATTACATCAAATATATAATACCATAATATTCGTCAAATTAATGTACAGTGGAAAAGATGTTTAAAAAACTAAGAATAAGATTTATATATAAGAGCATATACGTGTGCGTGTATGCACTAGGTTTTAAACTAAAAAAGTTCCCAATAAGTTTTTGTATTGCAGGTGATTTCACTTCAGTGAGTCAATACTCGAACAAGTCGTATCGAATGTGAGGGGAATACGAGGTAATTTAAAACTCAACTCAATAGAGCCTATTAAAGAAGATAATCACGCAAAATCGCCAAAAGCAAGTTAAAACCATTAAATATGGAAAAACGTAAGGAAGGACTTTCTCTGTTTTCCTCTGGTAAGTTTTATCCGTTTTGGTTCGAGAGAATCATTTCTAATAATTCTTTAGTATTATTTATTAATTGGCAATATAATACATATATACATATATAGAAGGAATATTTATAATAATTTATAGCTGTGATAATAAAAAATTGAATTCTATTTGTATAAGTTTAAAAATTATGAATTTGATTTTAGCAAACGGAATAAATTATGTTTTGATAAAATAACAAATTCATAATAAAAAAAATTATAATAATGCTCGTATGATATTTATTTAATTTTTAATTCCAAAGTTGCTTGTAAACTAATTTAAAAATTAAAAAGATAAAATACAATGAAGGAATACAAATTTAAAATGTTTGTCATGACAATCGAAGCTGTTTATGAAATGATTATGATAATATTTTTTAATGAGAATCTTATCAATTCTTAAATAGTCTTGTGAATAAACTGTAATGATTTAGAATTTTATGAAAATTTTCTCAAATAATTATATTTCTAATGGGATTTGCTTCATTAATTATACTATTTGATTAATTGTAACGATTACATCGTATATAAATGAAAAATATATAATTTTTCAGAGTTCATAAACACAATAGATTTATTTATTTAAATACATTTATAATATTAAATAATGATAGGTAATAGTGATAGGTAACGTATGCTTATATGCATTTAATTATTTTCGAATATGAGTTTGAAATTTCTGTGATAATGTCACGATGGCTACTCAATTTCCTTTTTACGCATATTTTTTTTTTCCGATACACTTCAGATCTTCATTTTTCTAGTAGCCTTAGTTTATTTTTCGTTACATCATATGTCAGCATTGTAAAGAATTCAATTAAAAAGATTTCTTGTTAATATCGTTAATTTTTTTTTTTTTTCTTAAAAAATATATCTTTGTACATAACGATTATGAGACATAGGTGTCAAGTTCTAATTATAAAATAGTATAAAAAATAAGTCCTTATAGTGTGTTATGTCCCCATTGTTTTGCGACATTGAAAGTATAATGTGCATCATAGAGTCCGTAAATATGAATTTTTAAAGGTGACGGATTTAAAAAGTACTTGGTACAAGACATTATTTTTTATTGAAAAATTAACTGATGAGTTATAGATAGGCCGATTGTTCAAAAGAATATAAATGTAAATTATTTTTACGTATATTCTAATAATGAACACGTATTGAAATCTTCTAATACATTTATATATCTTATTATTATACTTCAAATAGCAGATTTAAAAATGGATTATTGGTATAGAAATTATTCTGAAATTTCTTAATATCTTAATATCTTAATTTGTTACAATGTAATTGCTAAATGTACATGTAATCAAAATGAGACTTTACTTGTAAATTTATACAGAGAAAGGAAATATTTTATATAATATCATAAATTATCCCTTATCTTTCATGAAATTATCTAATTAGTTTTTATATATTTAATTATATTTTATTATAAATATGAATATTAATAGTGAAAAATTAATTAAATAAATGAATATAAATAGATTTACAGTTGACTATGATGTATTTTAGTTAGAGTATTTCTAGGGAAATTTCGAAAATTTTTCAATTAAAAATTTTATTTTAAAATTATTAAATTTATTTTATTTTAAATTATTTTATTTTAATATAAAAAATAAAGAATAATATTTAAATTAATAATATGTTATTATTATTAAATTAAAATTGTAAATAATTGCAGCTAGACTAAGTTTTTTTAATTTTTTATTTTTGTATGAATTGAATATTGAGTGAATTGAGTACCGAAATTTTTTTGTTTTTGTACAATAATATCATTATGATTTAATTCATTTACGTATAATATTATTTATATATATAGTATTCATGAAACACTAATTTATGAAAGCAAAAATTTTAAATTTCGTAGATTAGTGTTATTTCATGCACTTCTTTAATATTTTAACGAGCGTATAAAATATCCAACTATAGATTATATTTTATGAAATTTGAATTTATATTTATTATCATGAAGAAAATTATTTAATCCAATTTAACATCTTATTAATGTAAATGAAATGTATTAGAATTATTACATTCAAGCTTATGTGATTTTAATAAACAAATTAATATTAAAATGTAAATTAAATGTAAAACATGTGATAAATGAGAATAACAATTTTTTAAACGAATATTTAAAAGAGTCGATTATTTTCATTTAGCATTTAAATTATACTATTTTTAAAAATTTATTTGAAATTTTAATTTAACTCAAATAGATTATAGATTATAGATAGTATAAATTTTAGAATAAAACATTAATAAATTGGAATACTTCTAATTAAGATTCATTTAAAAATTATGTCGTTGTGTTCATATAATTCTTCATAATTTATTCATAATTATATGTGTACGCATTATCATTAATAAAATATAATTTTAAATATACAGATACATGGAAATTATTCACTATTAAAGCTTTTTTTTTTTAATGTATTTAGTATATTTACATTACAAATTAGAAAACGTGAATAATATAAGTGGTCTGAAATATTATATTACTATGTTTAATATGTAAGTATTATATTATTTAAATTTTGTAAAGATGAAGCTGTCAATTAATGAACTGTTTAAGAACTATTTTATTTTAAATTACTAATCTAATTTATACCATCTAAATGCACATAGTAAAGAAATTTTTAAAAGTTTGATTAAAAAAGTGTAATTGATTAACATTTAAGTTAGTAACAACATTATATCCATTTTTTAAAGTTAAATATTGTCTTAAAAATTGTTTCTTAAAAAATTGAGTAATATATAGTTATAGTTACATAATTTTACCTTTATTGCGGCACGATAGGCGATCATTTATTAAATCTTTTAAAATGTAATATTTTAAGTGTTTCAATACATACTTTTCTATATTTCTATAAATAATTGTTGTATATTTAAAAAATACGTTAAGATATTTCGTTGGATATCTAATCTCAATTAAAGAAACCATTATGAAATATTTCATATTATATTTATTTTTAAAATATGTTGAGTAATTTATTAATCTTTTTTCTTTAAATGGAATACATTGACAATTTTTCGTTTTATTTTATTTTGGATATTTAAAGAAGGGATTAAAAAAAAGATTGAAACTTGCCAGATTTATGTATTAAAATTATATTATTATTGAAAAATTGATAATCAGTCGTGCATTAATATATACAAAAAAAAAAAAATTATTTATTGCATTTCATTAATTAAACGATTAACAAGTGATTTATTTGAAGCACGGTATAACGTAAGAAAAATAAAAATAAAATAAAACGTGTTATTCATTCTATTTCATTTTTATCGTTTGAAAAATCGTCTAAATCATTTTAATATCTTGTTCAGTATGAGTAATAATTTATGATTTTATCAGTCAGTGTTGACGTACAAGCCTATATTAATAATGTTCCATAAATGTGAATAAATATCAAGAAGCACCGTTAAAGTACTGATAATAATTGTGATAAATATTATATATATATATATATATATATATATATATATATATATATTGTTTCAAACCTAGTGGATAATTTCCGTCATTTACACTTCAAATTCGTATAGAAAATTTTGATAATACTTTCGTATATATACATGACAACACGTTACTTTCTTTCTTATAGAGCCTTCTTTAAGATTAAATGAATTCTTGTTAAGAACTTTTATTGAAATATTGTCCCCTCTCTGTCATCGAACGCACCTATGTGCGTATACACCTGTATTTACGATTTTAATATTTGGTTGCGAGTGCTTATTGGATCGTGCGCGCGCACGCACATGTGTACACTTTTGCTATTCTTTGGACATAGGAAACAGGTAGGGAAGCAACCCCCTCTTAGGTACGGGCGCAGGCTGTTGCGAGACGCACGCGCACACGGGGATGGAGTCTACAGTGTAGGCGCGCGCGCGCGCGCGCGAGCACCCTGAGGGTAGACGATGAGTCGGCGCCTTGAAGCACGTACAGCTTCTCCCGCTCCCTCTATCGTACACTCCTTCCGTCTTTTTATCGGAAGATTGGCAGTCGAGGCTGGGGAAGCGCGTGCGAGCGACGACGAGCACGACCTCGAGGCGGACCATACTATGGGGTTTGATTGAGCGCCTCTTCACACAACGCGCGTGACCCCTTAATTATCCTTATACTATTTTTTTTCCTGTTATTCCCGTTGCCATCGTGTGCATGTATGTAATCACGGTAGCGTCGTGGCCCTTACATCCAAATTCACACGGTGCGTTGCACATAGTATATTGTTTATTGTTATGTATATGGTTAACATTTTTGATATTGTAAAATGTTTTAAAATAAATCGGATGTTATTGAGAATTGGTGCCACTGATATCTCCATCGACTGCCCAACGATCCTGACAGGATAATAAATTAGGAGGTGCCACATTACTATCATTTATTGCTCTATTTTTTCAAGAGTTGTATCGAACATAAAGCATCTATTTTTATTTTTGTTGCTGAGATTAATGTGTAGAATATAAAAGCAATCGTTTATTTTTATGCCTTCATTCAGACGATAATTGTAAGAGAATAAGATTTCCTCTTACCAATATCTAGTGCTAATTGCAAATCCTAATAATGGATTCAACTAATGTAAATAATAAATTATTGTTATGTTAGTGTTTTTTAATTTAACATAAAATTTTTTCGTTTTCTCTTGATGGTTGTATTGGTGTATTGCAATTTATTAAGTTCTCATTATACATTAAGTATTGCACGAGTTAATGCTATCGATAAACAGACGATATAAGCGAACGTGTTTCATATTTACAGTTATTATCTTATATAGCAACTGATAAGTTGAACACTTGTTAATTGCCATTAGTAAATATATTTTATGTCCCTATTGAGTATATAAACTATATTTGTAGTTTTTTTCTGTTTTCAATACAATAAATTTCGATATTTGTTAAACTTTGTCATAAAAATCATTTTAACATAAGTCTAAAGTGAAAAAATAATTAATTTTATTTTCTTTGCATATAGTTACGCAT